AAAAGAAAAAAGAAAAGAAAAGACAGTATTAAGAGTGATTATACAGTGATATTATGAGGGGATTATTACGTCTTCCTTCATACATTCCTGTACTCTTCAAAATTTCCACAATGACATAGTCTTATATTTTCAAAAAATAATTTTGGAAAAATATTCCTAATAAGAGAGAGAGAAATTCAAAAATACAATAATACATTATTTTTTAAATAAAAATGGCATTACAAACCAATTTACAAACACTCCAGACAGTACCGAGAATAAGATTTATACTTTGACCATATGCCAGTAAAAATAAAAAGGAAATTACTACATATACACATAAAATATAAATGAATTTTATTTATGAAAGTATAGATGTACAGCAAATAGGAAAGATAATACATTAAAAGAACATATACTATAACCAGGCAGAGTTTTATCTCAGGAATTTAAGAAAGTTTTAATATTACAAAAACTCTTATTTTAATCATATTAAGCAATTTAAGTGATAAAAATATGATTGTATCAAAAGATACCAATTCCTTTTATCAAGCTTTTAGCTTCCAACAAACAAGAATAGAAGATGCTATTTCTGTTATCCTAACAAAGAACATTTGTTTAAAACCAGCAATTAACTTCATATGTAATGAAGAAATATCAAAAAAACATTACAATTTTATGAAACACAAAAATAAAATAGAAATACCTATGATTTTATATTTAGAAAAAGCAAACAGACCATCTAAAACTGTTAGAACAAAGACAATCACCAAAAGATACATATTTTAAAAGTTAATAGCTTTCTAATAATAGAGATTCCCATACTGACAGCAACATACACATATAAAACAGCCAAGAAAGAATTAAGGTATATATAAAACCTAGACAAAAAGAAGAACCAAGTAGAATGAAAAAAAAATCAAGAAACGTGACAATAATGGAGACTTAATCCCTCAATGGAAAGAATTACTATCATAAATGTAAGTCTGAAAGAGTTAACTTTAGATGTAGACAAGTCAAATTGAAGCACTAAAAAGATGTTGACCTGATAGAACACATTCCTTAGGGGGAAAAAAGATTTTTTAATATTGGAAAAAATATGGCTAGGCATAGTGGCTCATGCCTGTAATCCCAGCATATTAAGAGGCCAAGGCGGGAGGACTGCTTGAGCTTAGGAGTTCAAGACCAGCCTGGGCAACATAGTGAGACCTTGTCTCTACTAAAAACCTAAAAAAATTAGCTGAGTATGGTGGCATGCACCTATAGTCCCAGCTACTAGGGAAGCTGAGGCAAGAGGATGGCTTGAGCCCGAGATACCAGGGTTGCAGAGAGCGATAATTGTGCCCTGCACTCCAGCCTGGGCAACAGAGCAAGACCCTATCTCAAAAAAATGTAGGAGAAGAAGGAAAAACAATGAAGACCAATATGCTACTGATTCACATGGATTCAAAGACAAAGTATAATCCATTATATGGCAAAAAAAAATATGTCTTCACTACTAAGTGTTACAACTACCAAGAATAAATAATGCTTTGCTCACAGCTAGGAAGTAAAAACACACAGCATTTCAACATAAAGTAAGTGCTATGCTAGGCCTGTGAGAATGCTACAAGAGCCACCTCTTTTGGAGTCAAGAAAGGCCAACCTGGCATTTTGAAGAATCCAATTTTGCCAGGTTGTGAGGTAGGAAGAAGGAAGAAGGAATGACACTTACAAAAGAGGGAACATCAGGCTGGGTGCAGTGGCTCATGCCTATAACCCCAGCACTTTGGGAGGCCGAGGTGGGCGGATTACCTGAGGTCAGGAGTTCAAGACCAGCCTGACCAACATGGTGAAACCCCATCTCTAGTAAAAATACAAAAATTAGCCAGGCGTGGTGGTGCACACTTATAATCCCAGCTACTCGGGAGGCTGAGGCAGGAGAATCACTTGAACCTGGGAGACACAGGTTGCAATGAGCCGAGATCATGCCACTGCACTCCAGCCTGGGCGACAGAGTGAGACTCCATCTCAAAGGAAAAAACAAAAAAACAAAAACAGGGAACATCATTTACAGAGAATCACAAGACGAAATAGCACATTCCAGAAATTCCAAGTAGGTCAAGTATATACAATGTTGGTCTGCATTTTAAAAACTCGACTAAAGTCAACATTCAATCAGAAAATGTCTCATAACAATCTGAATTTCTGGCTTCTTTTTAAAAAACTGGGCAATATGACAAAGTGGGCCCACATTCCCACATGGATACAAGAGGCAGGCATCCCTTTTAGATGGGACAGTTTGCCACAGCACTTCTCCCTTCTCCCACTTCTCTTGCATCCAGTTCACTTCATCCATTTAACTCACCTTTCTAGTCCCTGCAGACGTTTGAATTTAGGAATACTACCCTACATGATGAGGACCAAGGAAGGTTTCAGCAGGAAAAAAGCCGTATGACTGGGTTTGCTTTCAAAACATCAGGCAGCCAGATGGAAGGCGGGAGAAGTGAAGAGTGGCACGGAGAACAGTGAAATCCACAAAAGCCTATTCTATTAAAGATTAAAATGGGGCTACCATCACTGCAGTGGGAACAGGGCACCTTTTACCAAAAACTCCCGAAACACATGTCTTGAAAACCACGGAGTTTACGCATCTGTGGGATATATGCAGGAAGGTGATGAGGGTTTGAAACAAGGCAGTAAGTACGGGGTGGAAAGAAAGGGGCAGAGAAGGATAACTATTTGAAAGGCTTATGAGGGGAAGAAACTCTCCAACACTGGGTAACCAATTTGACAAAGGGAACAAGGAGAAAGAAAAGTATAGGACAATTTACAGCTTTTCGCCTATGCCATTAGGTAGATAGTGGGGACATTCAAAAATAAGGAAATAAAAGGAGGAACAAGACTAGAGGGAAATCATAATTCAACTTAGAATATGTTGAATTTGTAGAGTCTACAGACATGCGACTTTACATCAAAAACCCCGATAAATTACCAAAGAAAACTCCTCTCCAACTATAACGCAGTAACTTTCTAACAGCCGAATCATTAGTGAAAATCAGAGAAAGACAGGTACGGTTATATAAAATATTTTACAGAATGAATGAATACCAACAGAACTAAGATTAAAGTAGACTATTATAGAATTGAATAAAATACTACAACAAAGATGACAGAGGACCAATAACTTCACATACAAAAGCATAATGATAAGATATAAAAGCAGAACATAAACAAGTAAAGGTCCACCAAGTCTCTCAATGTAAAGGAAATGCATTTATACCCTACACTGTTTCCATTAAAGATTTAAGATAGCTCACTACAAAAATAGTGAATGATTAGTAAACAGTAATCAAATAGTAAAATGATAAGTGTAAATAATAGTAATAATTAAATGTAAAAATAATTTTTTTACTTATCACCAGAAGAAATCTGGACTAGAAAAAAAGAAACAAAATATGCAGAGCATAAGGGCTTTCAGAAATATTGCTGACAATGAAAGTAAAAAGGTCAACACAAGTGGGATGACTCTTACTATCCATTAGGAGAAAACACGGCCATTTCTCACTTTAAAAAGGACACTTTTGCTTTTCCCCGAATTGAAGAGATAGCATTTCATGATAAAAATTTCTCTACATTAATTTAGCTTTATGAAAACTTATTACATTGTCTCTGTTTCTCAAATGTTATGTTACTGCAGGACAGTTGAATTTTAAAAAAAAAAACAACAACAATCTACACAGTGACATTTGGGGATAACTACAATAAACAGAACAAAAAATTTAATTTCATAAAGCTGCTTCTTGTGGTACCCCTTGATGAAGATAAACCACAAAATATTGAAATGTAACTCAATGAACATAGCTAGATAGGTGGAGAGTAGGAAGGAAGGGAGAAGGGAGAAAGGGGAAAGGGAACATGAAATGCGTGAGGTATACAGATGTCTGATGGTCCATCCTGAGCCACAGGAAGAATGGATACAATTTAAAGGAATGGATAAACTGCCCATCCTTCAAACTATAGCAACTGGGCTTTGGTAAAAGTTCAATAAGAGATGAAGAGTAGAAAGAGTCTCACGCCTGTAATCCCAGCACTTTGGGAGGCCGAGGCAGGCAGATCACCTGAGGTCAGGAGTTCGAGACCAGCCTGACCAACAAAGTGAAACCTCGTCTCTACTAAAAATACGTAATTAACTGGGCGTGGTGGCACATGCCTGTAATCCCAGCTACTTGGGAAGCTGAGGCAGGAGAATCGCTTGAACCCAGGAGGTGGAAGTTATGGTGAGCTGAGATTGCACCATTGCACTCCAACCTGGGCAACAAGAGTGAAACTGTCTCAAAAAAAAAAAAAAAAAAAGAGTAGACAGAGTGAGGTCGAAGTCTCTGGAGAGAACCCAAAGGTCATATACTCTGTACTACTGGCTGAGGATGGACCTACAAAAATTGAGTATCATCCAAACACAGTACTGCTGAGGTCCTTTCATGAAAATTGTGAAGCCTCATTAAAGGCTGTCCCACATCAGCATAGATGAGGACCCCATTAATAAAAGGCCAAATGTAAAATGAAAAAATAAGGACAATCAGAAAGCAGACACCAGAAAACTATTCACTCATATATATATTTTTAAAAATGCAAATGACAGTATCCCTTAGCATCTATAAGCTAAAGTAAAAAATTGCTGGAAAAATTCAATATTCTGCAGATTTTAAGACAAGAGTTACACTTGTTAGAGGCTGGGTGCAGTGGCTCACGCCTGTAATCTTAGCACCCTGGGAGGCTGAGGCAGGCAGATTGCTTGAGCCCAGGAGTTCAATAATAGCCTGGACAATATGGCAAAATACCCTCTCTACAAAAAAAATACAAAAAACTAGCCAGTAGTGGTGCATACCTGTAGTCCCAGCTACTCAGGAGGCTGAGGTGGGAGGATCACCTGAGCTCAGGAAGTCAAGGCTGCAGTGAGCCGAGATCACGTCACTGCACTCCAGCCTGGACAAAGAGCAAGATCATCTCAAAAAAAAATTGTTAGAAAAAGGCAAGTAGTTAAATAAACTATGAGATATTAATGTATCTGTGCAAAAACATGATTATGTATGATGTGAACAAATATAGAAAGATGCTTATGAAACAATTTAAGTAAAAAAAAAAAAAAAAAAAAAAAGTGTGCAAAGTACTCTATGATTGCCACAATATAAACTGACAGAAAAACTATGGTGGACCACAAAAGTCAGCAGACCTCCATCCACCCAGCCTGAGGAAAGCACCTAGGAGCTGCAGGTAGAAGCTGCCATCTTCAGCACTTGCCCTGGACTGGCCCCATCTGCACTCAATTTTAGCCTCTTTGCCTGCTCAACGTCCAACCCCATCCCCAACCACCCATGCTCAACTGTATTCTTCCAAAAGGACATTTTCTCCTTTTCCATCTTCTTTACTTCTCACAACACACTGTGAGGTAGATGTTATTATGACCATTACAAATCTATCATTAAATGAATGAATGGTTACAAATTAAAGCTAAACAGAAGGCTTGTTTTCAGATCTTCCAAGCTGGACAAGCTTCTTCTTAGTTCACTGACCCCCTTTAAGGTTTACCTGGGCAGGGCTTCTTAGCCGACTGAGCAGGGACAGAAGCCAGAGGACCAGCTTCTGCGGCTCCAGCCGCGTGCACTCCTTGCTTCTCAAGGCCTTGTGAATGCTCAGTAGAAGGCGATGAATTATCTACAAAGAGGAAAGGGATAAGTTTTCCTCTGATACCCCAAGTTTCATTTTATGTTGGGAGCAACAGCCCAGCTAACCAGACATCAGACAAGACTCTCAACACCTGGATTTGGAGAGTTCATGTCTTCTGGATTTTAAAAAATTGTGTGTGTGTGTGTGTGTGTGTATATATATATATATAAAAAATAGAGAGAGAGAGAGAGAGAGAGAGAGAGAGAGCGCGCGCGCGCAAGCGGAAAGTCATTATGTCACAGGAGAGACTCACCAAGCAAAACCAGATGAAGACAGTGACAGGCCCTAGACACAGCATAGGGTAGAAGGTACCTGCCAACCTGCCACCACTCACGGTTCCCTAAACAGCCCTGACGCTGGTATATGCAGAGCCCTCCCTGCCTGCACTCACGACGTCTGACACTGACATCCCAAAACATGAAAAGCTTAGCATGGTGAAAGTTTAGCCAACTCCACTTTTGGTGATTTACTTTTCCCAACAGCAATTCTCCTAAGCCTACCACCCACTGATTTTCAGGTACCAGCAAATGTAACGGAATAAGTAACCGAATGCATTATAATTAAAATAACACCAAATCACACTTTGTAGACTTTAAAAAACTACTAAAGGCCAGGTGCAGTGGCTCACGTCTGTAATTCCAACACTTTGGGAGGCCAGGGCTGGAGGACTGCTTGAGCCCAGGAGTTCAAAACCAGCCTGGTCAACACAGCAAAACCTTGTACCTACAAAAGAAAAATTTAAAAAAAAACAGCTGGACATGGTGGCATGTGCCTATAGTTCCAGCTACTAGGGAGGCTGAGCAGAAAGATCACTTGAGCCCAGGAGTTCCAGGCTGCAGTGAGTCATGATTGCGCCACTGTACTCCAGCCTAGGCAACAGAGCAAGATTCTGTCTCCAAAAACAATAACAAAAATTACTGAAAGACTATGGGAATATATTTATAATGGGAATATGCAATATTCCTAGCAAGATGAGAAAATATGTTGTATAAAGTAGAAATTTAAGATATTAAATTAACATGTACTTTGAGCACAACTGGATTCGTGTTTGTATATAACAGAACTAAATGGCCCATAATAAAATTGTAACAAGTATAGTAGATTTGAGTGAGCAAAATCATATACAATTTGCATTTCCAGTTGCTATTTTCCAAATTGTTCCATAATGTCATCAAAATTACTTAAAAATTAACAAAGCCAAAAATTCTATTTATGAAAAGAAAGTCATCACTACATTAATCTTACTTTTCCAGTCACTGGTCCATCTCCTTCCTCTTTTTCCTAACCACGTTGTGAAAACTGTTCTACTGGGCCAGGCGCGTGGCTCATGCCTATAATCCCAGCACTTTGGGAGGCCGAGGCAGGCAGATCATGAGGTCAAGAGATTGAGAC